TAAATTATATTATGCACATATTTTAGCTTTACTTGACTTTAACAAAACTTTTGAGCTTGAACATGACGCTTTAAGTATAGATATAAGAGTAGTTCTGATGTAGGAAGGGGTCCCCATGGCTTTTTTCAGTGAGAAACTTAGTAGCAGACTGTTGAACTACTCAACCTACAATAAAGATTTGTACACATTGATGAGAGCATTAGAGGTATGACAATACTATTTATTGTTAAAGGAATTTGTAATCTATATAGACCACGAATCTCTAAAACATCTAAAGGGCTCAAGTAAACTCAACAATCATCACGATAAGTGGGTCGAATTCATTGAATCATTCTCCTATATAATTAGGTACAAATAAGGTAAGGATAATATTGTTATTGATGCATTATCTCACAGGTATGCTTTGATTTCTATACTTAGCACTAAGTTTTTAGGATTTAAATACATATAGGAGATGTATGCTAATGATAATAATTTTTATGCTAATAATAATAATCTTTATACTGTTTATTATGCATGTGAGCATTTTGCATTCAAGAAATTTTATAGACATGATAGTTTTTTCCTTAGAAATGGTAAGTTATGTGTGTCCAACTGTTCACCTAGGGAATTACTAGTATATGGGGCTCATGATGGGGGGATTGATAGGGTATTTTAAGGTAGCTAAAACTCTAAACATATTACATGAGCATTTTTATTAACCTAATATGACGAAAGATATTGAGCGCATTTGTAGTAGGTGTATTGCATGTAAGCAGGGTAAATCTAGGGTTTTACCTCATTAATTATACACACATTTTTTTGTATCTACAGCACTCTAAATAGACATATTTATAGATTTTCTATTAGGATTGCCTTGGACTAGTAGATATAGTGATACCATATTTGTCATTATAGATCTATTTAGGAAGATGACACACTTCATTGCTTGCCATAAGACTGATGATGCAACAAATATTGTAAAATTTATTTTTCAGAGATGTTGTGAGACTTCATGGCATTCTTAAGATTATCGTGAGTGATAGAGATGTAGAATTCCTTATTCACTTTTAGGGAGTTCTATGAAGTAAATTAGGATCTAAGTTATTATTCTCTACTACATGTCATCCCTAGATTGATAATCAGATTGAGATCATTAATAGGGCCCTAGGATCCTTGTTGAGGGTTGTAACTGGTCGAAATTTGACATGGGAGGATTGTTTACCTAATTTAGATATAATACGAGCATTCACACCACTATAGGGTTTTGATCTTTTAAGATTATTTATGATGTTAATCCTTTAACTTCATTGAACCTCACGCTTTTACCTTTGAAGGAGATTTAGGACATCAACAGTTAGCAGAGAGCAAAATTTATTAAAACCATACATGAGAAGGTTTGACAAGATATCTAGAAGAAAAATGAATACTATACACGACATGATAATAAAGGAAAGAAACGAGTAGTTTTCTAACCTAGTGATTGGGTATGAGTTTATATGCAAAAGAAAAGATTTGTCGATCAATGAAAATCTAAGTTGAACTCCCAAAGAGACAGACCTTTTCAAGTCCTAGAATGTGTTGATGACAACACTTCTAAAATTGATCTCTTATGTGAGTACAATGTGTCTATTACATTTAATGTTTATTATTTTTTCCTTTTTTATGCATATTATATTCGAGGACGAATCTTTTTGAAGAGGGAGGGATGATGTGAGCATGAATATGGATCATGAAATGAACAATTAAGGGGAGATGAATGGCGGCCGAGCCCAAAAAATGGACAAATTGATGGCTAAGCCCAAAAGAATAGACAAGTTGGTGGTTGAAAGAGGATGGATGAAGAAGATATCTCAATGCCTAGTGGGCTCATTACAAGAGAGAGAGCTAAAAGATTACAAGTCTTTCAACTTTTTGTACTAGTGTGGATCAATGAGGAAAATGAATTTAGATCCACTAAAAAAGCCCAAAGAAAGAAGATAGCAAAGCCATTAATCCAAGGGTATAATGGCATATACAATTCACTCAAGGTGCAATAGGGAAACAAACAAGAAAAAGGGAAAGAATTTCCCTTAAGTGAGGAGAATCGACCAAAAGGGGAAGATGCTCCTAAAATCACAAGTTGATTGAAAAAAAGGGGGAAAACTCATTTAAAAGCCAAATCTCACGATTTAGGATATAAATGGGCAGCCATCTTGCTCTCCATTAATCAAGATCTCTTTTATTTAAAAAAGTAGATAATATTTATCCTATTTTGGAAAACAATCCTCTTAATTTTGTAAGTTTTCTTATTTTATTTTAGATTTATTTTTATATGTAATTTTTTCATTATTTTAGGAGATTATTTTCCTTATTATTTACAGAGCATACACTATAAACAGACCTTTAATTCAGAGTTGTAGGCATTTAAAAAGTTTATAATCTTGTTTTAAAATTTCAAGTTTTCAAGAGTGAGTGAGTGAATTTTCGACTAATTTATTGTGTTAGGAATTGGAATCACTTATCGAGGTAAGTTTTATGGTATCTTTTCAATTCTAATTCGTTGCTTCTTTCCTTATAACCTTGGTTTTCACAGTGTGGGTCAAGTATGGAGGGTTTACTTAGGGTTTGAGTTTCTAGTTGCTATATATACGGGGTTTTGAATTACGTTTTTTGGACCCAGGTTCTACATCAAATTTACTGACTGATATAATGTTTAATGAGAAATGAGGGACATAAAGAGCATTGTGGAGTATGAATGTGGTAGAAGATGCATATTGCAAATATGTCTTACATTCACTATTTGTGAATAAGACAGTTCTATGAAAACATTATTTATAGGTTAATAACTAGCAAACAACTCGATAAAACTTACTATATGGTCTCTTGTCAGGATATCTATTATTTAATCATCTACTTTTATTGAAAATAAATGAGGAATTGAAGAGGAAATGTTGTTGGATTTTGTTAGATGTTTGTATGTTGTTGAAAGATTGTTGATTTTTAGCATTAGGGCATTGTAATCGATTGTATTGATTGTTAACAATGTAGGTTGAATCAAGGCAAAAATTCTATCATATTATTATTTGGTAAATGAAAGATGACGTGTCTCTGAAACAATACTCTGGTTCCTAAATTTCACATGAGAATCAACATCACTACTATGAATATCTAAATTAGTTGGAAATGTCCCTAACTAATTTGCACTGGGATTTTTCCTTTGTTTGGGCTTATAACCTAATGGGTACCCATGTTTCTTATAACATATGTCTATTGTGTGACCAAGAAAACCATAGTACATACATGTTGGCTTCTTGGTGTTTCCATTCTTAGTGGGTTTTGTCATGTTTACAAAATTACAATATGTATTTTTGGTCCTTAATGACTTATCAAAACCTCATTTATTTACATACAATATGTTTGATTCATAACTCTATAAAGGTAAAATGCATTCACAAGTCTTTCATGTTGTAATATTAAGGCAAACACTTTGTTCAAACTTAGTAATGACTTTATAAGGAGTATGAGGCAAACACTTTGTTCTAGCATTTATGATACTAAATGATTCATTTAATCCTTTTAAGAATCTTATTACTTGACCTCCTTCTTGATAATTTCTAATTGCTAAGGACACAATAGAGGCACTATGTGATTGACATGCAAATACAAGCCTCACATTCATTAACTCATCCCATAATCTTTTTAACTGAGTGAGGTACTTTGTAATAAAATAAGTACCTTGTTTTAGAGAGTATATTTTCTCGTGTAAATTAGAAATATGAACTACATCATATTGCAAAAACCTATCATGTAAGTTTTTCCAGAGATCTTTTGCATAGTCTATCTATATCACGCTCTATGCTATGGAAGGTGATAAAAGTCTCACAATCCAAGATAAATTATGGTGTTGCATCTTTTCCAGGCCTCGTACATCAGATCATCCTTATTCAGTTACTTAGATCGATTCGTCTACCGATAAGAACGGTTAAGGTGAGCTACAGTGATTGATTCTCCTACAGATGCACATAGTATGGATTCCCAAAGTTCTCTTCCATCTTTGACAGATCTAAGGTAGATGATTTTTTCATGTAAAATCTCTTTAACTGACAATAATAAATCTTTCAAATAATATATCGACACTTAAACTATAAGGGATGAGGGGAGTACAAGATTTCGCAGAAACTTCGAAACTAAGGTTTCTTTATTCTTTTTCTTCTAAGAAAAAAAAACTTGATTAAAATCACTCTGATTCCAAATTGAATAATCTCATTGATAAAATCACAAGAAATTGACTTAGAATATCAAGAATACACTTTGATTCAAGGTGTAGTCGAGTGAGAAAGGAACATTAGGATAGAGAGATAGAAATAGAGAGAGAGAGAGAGAGAGAGATTTTTCAGGAATGAAAAAAAATGAATAGGATGATTTTCATCAATGGTGATTGTGGCATTTATACAAAGTAATTAAGGAAACTAATTTTAACTACAAGTGGTGCTTTTAGTTAAAATTTAACAACTATAGTTAATAGTAATTATTACAAAATTTATATAATATCTATTATTTATTACAAATTACATTAAAAATTATTTTGATTACTACTAGGTTACAAAATTTTCACATCCAACCAAATCATGTGCTCTTAACATCATGTTGTTCATATACAATAAATCACAAATCATCTTAGTAGTATTTAATCAATCATTTCTTAATTAAATAATTGATATATTTATTCTTTTATAAGAAATTATAAATTCGAATTGGGTTATACCATTGTATTTTAATTTGAAGGTTGTACTCTTGTTTATTAACTAATTAATAATTTTATTAATTGATACAAGAAAAAAATATTAACATTTAATATTATATTTGATTTTATATAGAGTGTGCATTATATATTTTTTTTTATCGTAACCTATAAAAATTTATGTTAAATAAATATTAATTAAAATGAAAACTTGCAGACAATAAAACATAAGAAATTATAAATCTTGATTGTATATACAAAGAATAATATATATATATATATATATATATATATCCGACATCCTATATGTGTGTATATTGGCGGGTATAGTTTTAGGAGGTCTATGTATGTATAGCTACAAGCTTACAAACTAATAGTTACACCTCTAGCACCATTTGTGTAGGGTGAGGTGGTTGGAATAATCTCGGAATAAGAAGATTGTTGAAAATTACTGCCATGCTTTTTAGGGTCATATCTTTCCCCATCACCCCAAAGAGCATAAGCTTCTTCACCATGAGCAGCATCGTCACCTATGGCCAGCTCCTCTTCACCCATCCTCAGTGGTATAAACAATCTTATTATCATTAGAATAATTGTGGTGGAGACGATGTTCCACCCAATCACGAACATGGCTGCAACCAATTGCTTCAACAACTGAAACCCATCACCATAAATCGCACCTCTGCTGTCCGACACCGGCAATATGAGATTGCATAGGTGCGGCTCTGCAAATAGACCAGTCAATAACCCGCCTAGGAGCCCAGCAACCGCGTGGGTGTGGAACACGCCCAGTGTGTCATCCACCTATTCAACATTAGCCTAAATAGTCAGTAAGTCATCATTTTAAAAGCGATTGTAAAGTTAAATTAGATGGTGTATTTTTGTATAATCTCGATGTAAAATTATTTTATAATCTGACGTAATTAATAAAACATTTAGATTTCTATTTAAAAACAAACTTCTTATATGTTAATCAATGCAAACATAAACATTTTACATACATACATACGACGAAGACTTTGGGTAGGGACGTGTTCATTTTTTTATTTTTTATTTTTTATTTAGGTTTTCAAACAGGAAAAGTCTTAACATATTACTATTATGATGAGACTTGTGTACGAGAATTCTAAAGCATTAATGTTCATTAATTCTAAAGAACCCTATGATCACTAGATAGTTTGAAAATGGGGGATATACATATATATACGTATATACATATACATAACACTTTTGTCAAAGCACCAGAAATTTACGATAATCAATCTTAAAAAAAAAATATATATATATATATGTACCTTCTGTAAGAGGCTGGAATTTTTGTGGAGGATCATCATAGACACCCATGGAATACTACCGGAAAGAATCCCCATCACTATTGCTGCCCATGATTGCACCAATCCTGCACCAATCACGTACCCGTTACATTATCTACCTATATATTCTACTTTTCGGGGTTAAACAATAAATAATTAATTAGATTATTTCTCCAATTAATACATATACATACTTTTCAAATATGGAGGCTGTAGAAAAACTTTACCTGCACCGGGAGTGATGCAGACAAGTCCCGTCATCATCCCTTGAACGGCTCCGATCACCGAAGGCTTACCAAAGAAAATAACATCAAGAGTTGTCCAAACAAGAAGGCTAGTTGCCGCACAGACATTCGTGTTCAGCACAGCTATAGATGCGTCAATATGAGCTGCATACGGAGCTCCACCATTGAAACCAGACCATCCCATCCACAGCAAACCCGCACCCGCAAGCATCAGCAACACATTGTTTGGAGGAAACCTTTCTCTGTCACTCTTCAACCTCGGTCCAACCTGCAAATCAATCATTTAGTATCCACCAAACCAAATAAAAGAATTAGTAATTAAAGTAGTTGGCAGTACCCAATAAGCTGCCGTGAAGCCGGCGATTCCTGAAGAGAGGTGAATCACGTAGCCCCCGGAGTAATCAATAACACCCCAGTGGAAAAGAAAGCCACCGCCCCAGAGACTGAAAGCGCCCACGGTGTAGGAAAATATGAGCCAGAGGGGGACAAAAGCCATCCAGGCTTTAATATTCATGCGACCCAGAACAGAGCCTGCTAGCAAAATGACTGTAATGGCAGCAAAAGTGAATTGAAAGTAAACAAGTGAGGCCATGGGGTAAAAAGGCTGGATCATGGGGGTCTCAACCGAGCCATTAGAACGATGGTGGGTGCTTTCCGGGACCTGGGCTCGTTCAATGAGATAGTTCTGGCCTAGAGCCGGTGCACCTTTACCCCAGAAGGGAAGCAATTCGTCTCCGAAGGCCATGCGGTAGGCCACCAGGACCCAGCAAATGAGAACAGCGGCGAATGCGTAGAGAGCCATGAAAGCAGAGTTGACGGCCCATTTCTTCTTGACGATACTTGCGTAGATGATGACAAGACCCGGCATGCTCTGTAAGCCAACCAGAGTGGAAGCAATCAATTGCCATGCGTTGTCGCCTTTGTTCAGCCAGGATGGCACAGATGGAAGATGCTCCTGGTAGGCTATGGGGAAGGTCGCCATGGTTAATTCGTTTAGGAGGTTGGATTTGAGAGGAGGAGGAGGAGGAGGAGGAGGAGGTTTGTTAAGGGTCAAATGTTTTTATGATGACGGCTTTAGACAATAGTGAATTTGATATGAAGGTGTTTTCATTTTAGTTCAATGGAAGCTTCATGTATGAATATGTTAATAAAGGTTGAAATTGTCAAAGTCTTGTTATTTATGATTGTTATAGATGGAAAATTTCAAGAATTTAAATCTTTTAATTGTTAATGTTAACGTCTTATCAAGGAAAGTTTGATAAATATTTGTAGTTTAAAGACTTAAATTTGTAGTAATTGGTTGATGAGCTTATAAGTGGTAGGTAATTCATGAATCTGATATGTTGACTTGGGGGGGGGGGGGGTTTGTTTTGAAATATTGCGAAAGAAAGAACTGAGAAATTGATTGGGTGGGTCAACGCATGAGGAATATGTTTGGTTGAAAAGTCAAATATGAGTGTCATCAACTTTCGGTTATCCCAAATCACACCTTACATTTTTACCTTTTCTTTTGGGTAAATTTTTGAGCAGCTATAGAAATTTTCTTGACAAGTTTGACTCCGTCTCCATAATTCACTCACAATAAATTATATCAAAAGTCAAAAGTCAAAAGTCAATGTTCCGGTAGTGGTCAGATTTATTATAATATGAGAGGTTTCTTTCACGAACAACCAACCATTTTAATTTTATTTTATTTTATTATTATTATTCTAATTCTACTTTGTTTTATTAAAATCAAATTTAAAAAAAAAAAAAAAATGATGTGGAAGTTCAATGGAATTTGGTCCTTCAAATTTTAAAATTTCTATTTGATATTCTTATTATTTTTATGGGCTTTAATTATAAAGTAATTTTAATATTTTGTTTTCATGTATTTTTTAAAACTATACTTATGTCTATATCAATCTCGTTTTATTAAAATTAGTATTTTATTGATAATATAATAAAATTGGACTAATCTTTAGTTTGAATTCAGGTAAAATAAATTCTTTAGTACCCACTACTCAATTCGATCTTTTTATCGTAACTCTTGAAAAGTATTTTTAAGAGAAATGCTAAAATTTTCAATTATTTTTAAAACAAAAAATATAATTCAATTAATTTAATTTAATTTTAAAAAATAAAAAATCAATGTAACAATTAATTTTAAATGTCTAATTCACTTCTTCCTACTTTTAAAAATACATTTATACAATAATTAGATTATGATTATTTAAATATAAAATTCAAAATTATAAAAAAAAAAAAAAAACTACAAAGACTAATTTAAATATTACATAAATTAATGTATGTGAAATTATATGTAGAAATAAAGAAACATGTTACGGCAATGAGAGGAACAAACCTCGTGGAGGTCTATTTCTCAAACGTAGTCGACGTGTGGAGTCACCCGGATCCAACTATCTATATTAAATTAATTTGTAGAGTATTATTTTTGTATTTTAAATAATGGGTACCGGTTAATTTGATAGTTCATTTTTCTTAAACATTTAATGATTTAAGTTTATTTTCAGCTTAGATGAAATTGTCACGTTTAATTCATGTAATTTTGTATCATATAAGAAATTTATAATTTCGTTTCAATATTTTATTCCCTCCATTCATAATATTTGTAAGGAACTTTAGTCCTTTAGTACCTAGTGATGATGATGTTAAAAATTGGAAGCAACAACTATTTTATCATCACCTCAAAAAAGGGTCAATTCTCTTCTTTATAATTTTTTTTTTTTTTTTTAAAATAGAAACAAGTTCTTACTATTTATAATTATATAGACAAAATATAAAAAAAAATTATGAGTTTTCTTCCTTTGTAATAATATAATGTGTTAATGGTAGGAAATTTGATATAATATTTTTTGGTTTAATTTGTTGGTTCCTAGAAATTTAAACAAGTAATTTAAAAAAAACAACTAGTTAAGCAAAATCCATGGAGCTCCTCCTTTTGTTCGTAAAACTTTTTATGTTGAATATGTGATTTGTTTAGTCTTAATGAACATAAAAATTATATACACTTAGCCGATAATTTTTTTTCTAGAATAAATAATTTACTAATGCCCAAACCCTCTGAATATTTTTAGAATTGAAATGGTGTTATTATGTAGTACTTATCCTTAATTCATGGAATCATTGGCAAAGACCCCCACACATCCCTCTATGCACAAGTCTTGGCACCTCCTGCCCCACGCCACTAAATTTTGGTCGGGAACATATATCCAAACGTGCGCTCTCTCTCTCTCTCTCTATATATATATATATATATATATATATCACATACATATACATTCTGGACTATATGTATGTATCGTCGCATGCATGCACATACATAACATATCTATGTGTGGATGCTAATATGTGTATATATAGCCATCACGAGTTACAACCTTCCTTGCATATGCTTTGGCACATGATATCCAATCAAATTCTAACTGATTGATGTACTGTTTATACCATGCCAATTCTACTTTACCATGATAGAACCAACCATTTTGGCGCCCTTCGAAAATTGACAAAACATATACGTTGCCGGTTAAACCACATGTAAATATCATATTATTAACATAATCATCACTATATTTTGCTTGGGATATCTGCACTTTTCCCCATGGCTGCAACTCCTGTATTCTTAACTTCGATGGCCCCTAATGATCTTCATCATGATCAACTTCAATTCTCCGGCGACTCTCACTTTGCTCTTCACGGTGAGATCATGATGCTTATTCTTGTCTTGCTTTTTGTTATCTTTCTCCTCTTCCTCTTCTTCCTTCTCTACACAAAACGCTTTCGAACTCAACCTAAAGATGACTTGTCGACCTCCCAGCCCGATTTACCAACCAATCTTCCGATGATTCAGTTCAATGGCGGGTGCAAGTGAGTACAAGACCTATAACCCTTCAACAAATATAGATAGAGCATCAATTATAGCCTTGCTCATATACATATATTTATATGTATGTGTTTTTACAATATTATTTATATATCTGCCATGATTAATTGGCTCAGTCCGTATTGAAAGCTTAATTTGTAATTAAGTTAAGGTTATAATTAGTTATCTCCCATGAATTATGATTCTTTCTAGCTAAAAGAGTAGACAATTTTCAGTTAATTAATGGAGAAAATGCATATGTATGTATACAAGACAAGAAATTAAGAAAGATTAATTAATTAATTAATTAATTAATCAAATTAATTATTTGTGTTTTTAGAGTTCCGTGTGTGATTGGGTAACTTACCACCACAAAATTTGATGATGTATACAAGATGTTAGGTTGGTGGTACAACTTGTCAATTGTAAGACAGACAGCCACCATTTTCATATTTAGATATGAAGGTACGCTGAGGTGGCACCAAGTGATTGGGTGGACGTACCAGATATTTTCTCTTTTCTCTCTCTATTATTGCTCAAGAACTGGACATACATACGTATATGTATGTATGTATCTACGTACCAACATGCCAAGGGACTTCCCTCCCACCCAAGAGGATGGATATTTCTATTAATTCTCTACTTCTGTATTGGGTTAAACCTTAAAATGTATTTAAAGTATTAACTTCAATCTTATGTAGTTTGTAAGATAATAAACACATACTACCTATTAGATTTTATGCTAAGAATGTACAAAATAAACTTTTTCTATTAGTTAACTTATTTGTTTAATTATCATCTTAAGACTTATATATGTAATGGTGTAAATCATTACTTAGTTATATTACACTGACAAATGGCCTCTTAGCTCAGTTGGTTAGAGTATTGTGCTAATAACGCAAATGTTATTATTATTATTATTTTTTTTTACATAATTTAATAGCAAAATTATAAATGATTCCACAGTTTACTTTCAAAATTTTATGAAAAAAAAACTTATCTAAATCTATGAATTCATGAAAAAAATTCTCTATTTTTAAGTGTTGGATTTCTTATTGAAAATGCATGAAATCTGAGAGATATTTTAATTCCTACATAATTTAATAGATAATAAATTTATATTGTAACTTAAATTCAATTTTTTAATCAAAATTCTTACTTGATTAAAACTGAAATGGATTTAAATGGTTTGTGGCGCCACTTTTTTTTGGTCACCCATATGTATTTTATGTGTTTATCCATAACATCACAATACTAAGTTTGGGAGGTTCATTTCATGATGATTAATACTATAAACCCGAGATTTAACTTCGTTGTAATGTTGTATATTAATAAAAAAAAATTCATAAATATACAAAACTCACTAATCAAATAAATTCTAACAATTACATCCAGTTTTTTAATGTATAAATTTCCTATTGAAAATTTGAAACTTATAATTTGTGAGTTTGACAATGTATAAATCGACCTATACTTCATAATTGATTGTTATCATAAAAATAATAATAATAATAATGGTATTTTAAATTTTAACAAATAATGATGTGAAAACTAAATTTTCTTAACATGAGTCATAATTATCTCATTAATACAAGTCATAAAATCACGATTAGTTCGCTACTTTATCATAGACAGTATGATACCAAAACTAGTTCCTAACACATTAACATGTTAGTATGATTAATATTTAATTTTCATTGGTAGGATTATAATATTCAATGTCTAATCCCCCATTGATAGGATCATAAATTATTAACCAATATTTAATATTTATTGACATGTTATAATACATAATACTTAAATCTCATCATCAAGATCACAGATTTCGCATAATAATATTAGGATATTATACTCTGTCACTATTTATATACTAAAACTTTTAATAACTTATTTAAAGTATTTAAAATCTTAAACCACTAGTTTTTCTAATACATAAAAACATAACAATTTTCTCATCATATAGTTCTCAAATTATTATAAATATAATAATTTAAAATTTATATTAACTAAAATTTCTAAAATAATTAGATTTTAGAAAGTAAGTAAAGTAATAATTCTATTACTTGAAGCAAAATGTAATAAAACATAGAGTATTTGTATATTCTATGACAATCATTTTAAGTCGCCAAATATATAATAAAATTTTAAATTATTAATTAATGATATAAATATATTAATATATATACACACACACATTTTTTAAAAACTAAAAGATAGCCTTTGAGGCCGTGTGTTGATTTAGAACTATCTATCATAGGACGCAATCAAATCTTC